GTACATTATAAACTTTTCAATCTTAAGAATGAGTAATGACAAGTTATCAACTTATAAATCCATGTTTTTTGGTCCGTTTATAAACGTTTCGATGAAAGGACCCAATGTTGTTCTATGATCACAACTTCAAAATTCTTAATATTGCTGTGTTTGGTGACTTTTCAGTTGTTTATAAAATAAATTTATGTTTACGAAATAAATGAGGATTTAAAAAGTCATCGACTCCTAAATAATTAAGTCCGTGTGATTTAAGAGGGATTAAGGTAACAAATGTTTTCGCGAAAACACACTATAAATCAATTTAGTTAGTAAATTGTACATGAAAAGGTTTTATCCTCATATTACATATTGTGTAGTAATATCATGATTATTTCTTTTTTCATTTTAAATATTGTATACATCTTATAACGAACTATAGGATAAATCATTCTATACTGCAAATACCGCAGTTAATGCCCTGTATAACCAAGTCAATGTTACTGTAACCTAGCTTAAAGACATTTAAATAGACGTTATATAGTGAAAACGTTTCCTCCTGGACTCCTTGCCACTGGCTATTGTTGCTGGATCTTGTTGGGGTTGCGTTCGTTGAGCGCTGCCTTTCCTTGTTGATCTGGTTTATCATATTTTATTCTTAAAAGATTGTTTAAATTATTAACAGTGTAGCTTATGTCTTTATATAATTACCCAAACATTACCTAAATTTGTTACCGGACTGTTGTTCCAGCGTATTTCCTTAGGTAACGGTCATTTGAAATGAAACAGAGATTTAAGCAAAATTGTTACAAATTATAAATATGTCACATATACTACACAGATGGTACTGTATCGTGCGCTTATACTTTATATATTCCTAGTTTATCAGACTATTATACTCTTTTCTATTCCCAGCATTCAGTTACTTTACTAAGTAAATGGACTATGAATATGTTACAAAGGCACTAGACTATCTAATTATGTAAATGAACACGACAATTCTGATAAACAGCTTTCTGGCACGATTGTAAGTAAATTGCATTGCAAAATCTGTTCTGAAAAGACTGACAAAGAGGTTAATGACTTCTTAGCGGCGTAATCCGTTTTGAGCGAATTTTACATTGATCAGTTTCAATACATCTTGTCGTTTTGTTGGAAATAAAATCTGTGTTACTTAATCATTCAAATGAATGTTAATGAATCGTGATCAAAGTACAATTGATTGCAATTCTTTTTTTTTCTTCATAAATTTGATTTCAAAAGCTTATATGTATGTCCATTGTCACGTCTTTTATTTATTTATTGATTTAAAAATTGTTAAAACTAGACTTCGCAGTTGAGATTAAAATCAGCTTGTTATGTCCAAATATGAGGACAATGCATTCATAGACGCAGTCAGTTGTTACGGAATTCAACGAAATGCAATATTTTGTCCGTCATGGTTATGACTACTTATACATCATGGTCAAATTAAATTTAGTCTACATTAACGTGCTTGTCCTGCTACTACTACTACTAACTACTGCTACTGCTACCGCTACTACTACCGCTGCCGCTATTACTACCACCACTACCAGTACTACCTCTACTACCACTACTACTACTACTACTACTACTACTACTAATAATAATAATAATAATAATAATAATAATAATAATAATAATAATGAAATAATAATAATAATAGTAATTAGGAGAAAGAAGATGAAGAAAAAAGACCGAAGAAGAAGAACAACAACAACACAAAATGTGGTAGTAACTTTAAGTTATCTTTCGAGTTTGCAAAAAGGTAATACTATATCATTTGTTAACCTTTTACGATAAACGTCTTTTAATAAGATGTGATGTAGACCTTTGATTCCCAAAATGCTCTTTAAAGAGGTATCTCAAGAGCCCCACGTATATTATGTAATTATAATTGCAAACGCTTGTGGCGGTTGAAAGTTGTTTTATGATGCAAATATTGCGAGTGAAGGAGCAAAATCACACCGGCATACCAAGTTAACAGTAAACATTTGCAAAACCCAACATGTTATAATAATCACATTGCTGAAACTAATATGTTTTGACCATATGAAGGTATAAGACAAGGTAAATTAAAATATATTTGCAAAGATCTTTTTTTTTTCTTAAAAAAACTGACACCATTTTTGTTATATTATATCTGCATAAAATAGTGGGACATTTGATCATTGCAGTATGCGAAACCCAGTTTTTTGTTTATAACAAGAGGACTGGAACTACCAGAATTTAACGAAGCTACATATCCAAATAGAAATACCGTACTTAGTCTAAATAAAAAGGATAAACAGCTTGAAACGTTATGCAATCGTATCAGCTAGATGGGCGAGCCGTGTTTACAGGCTTTATGGAATATTAAAGCTTGTGATGTCTGTCATAACATGTCAGGATTATATATAGATTTATTTTACCAAATCCTATTAGAAAACCATTTTCCAGTCTTTTGTAGTAACCTTTGAGAAATTATCAACAATAAAAATAATGGAACATGTCACATTTTATGATTAAGCACTGCACGTTCATTAAGTAGCAAGGAATAAAAGTCATATCGCCTTTATTCATGTCATAAAAGATTGTAATGTTATAAATGTTCTATGATAACATCTGAAGATGTTTTAAAAATAGACGGTTCTTGTTAAAGTTTAAATCGGGACAGTTTTGTGTATATAAAGTAATATATACTCAGTATTTAGGAAGTCAAGAGAATCTCATCTCATCTTATTCCTTATAATTATATTACAATTAATCTGAAGGATTCTTCGTATGCTTGTACCATGTCCTTAAAGGATCTTATTGTATATTTTCAGAGAACAACCCTCAGCAATTAATTGGAATTACAGAAAATTATTCACTAATTCAAAACAATTTAATATAAGTGAAGAAAGTGTAATAACATAATCATAGTGTTGTTATTCATAAAAACGTATTAAGTACGATGGTGGATGCTTTATGAAATCAAAAAAAATGCATTTGAACACCGTTTTGTCTATACGTCATAAATGTTTTCACGTGCAATTTTAACAAAGTTGATGTTCATATGAAACAACAGTATAATAATACTTCTTTAGAAAACGTATAAATGTAAACAATTAAAATGAACTAATCCGGTTTTAGGGGAGAGCAGATCTAGAGACGATGTTTAATCTTACAGCGTTAATTGCAGTTACAATTTAATATGTATTTTCCACATTAGACACTTTAGCGGAAGTTATGTTTTGACCTATTTTAAAATTTTTTAATTTCTCAATTGCAACATTTTATATAGTACCTTTTTGTGATATTTTGTTTACTGTTAAAGTATTTAATAATAGGAAGCTAAGATTGGTCATAAATGCCTTTAGATGACGAGCTAATGTTCTTATGTGGTGTGCACGTTTTTCATGACACTTTAAAATGAAACACTGTGTATAAAATAACTGGTACTTTATAACATATTCATATGGAGAAGTTGGCATTATTTCAAACGGACGGTTTAATACTGGTAGTTACTCTGCACCGTCTTGAACAATGCGGTTAACTTCCCGCCGTTATTTTAGTGAAAACCCATTTAAGAAGCGCTGTTAGACATAAAACAAGAACATTGTTGTTTGAAATATAAAAATCTAAAGCATAAATAACATGAGCACCGCTTGCGATTCGAACATACATTGTACAACTGCTTGAACAGAAGGCGTGTATTCTACCACTACACAACTATGCAATCTGAAAAAATATAACGTTAAATCTCCGTGTTTATAAGTAGTAGTAGAATTATATAAAACAGTTAAATGTTTTGTTTTTCAACTTTGATCTGGAATCGCCCATGTAAGTAATCTGTTTTATGACTGATTTCGGACTGTTATTAGGATAACCTCTTGACAGCTAAATAAAGAAGCATCAACAACTCCTACAATTAAGCTTTCGATTACAAATACTTAATTTCATTAGTGCTTTAACAGCATAAGTAGTTTTAGTTAATCACTATGTGAGTGACGAAAAAGTTACAATCCATATATAATTCACTTAAATGCCTAGACAAGTACATATATGCAACAATTTTTTCCCAACCCGATGTGTGAAAGGTGTGACATGACAGTACCAAATCACGACCGGCATGGAAGAAAATCACGGATTCTCAAAGTCACGATATGTTAGGTTAAGATAAGGGAATCATGACGCTATAATGTGCGACTTTTTCTTAATTCTGACATTAAGTGCGTTGTACTTATATTAAACTTTTACTGTCTTGATCACATATCTTAGTACGAAGAAAACATAAATTTGGCTTTACAATTGTAATTGAAGCTCTCCAAATACGTCTGATGATGTAATTAACATAATTTGAACAGCTTTATTAGGAAGCAGCAGCCAAGAGAGATAACACTTAAGGGCATATAATTGATTTAATGATAAATGTGTCTCTTTTTTACAAAATTTAATGTAATTCTTTTATAATATTAAATATACCCAAGTTTTTATAATTATGTAATGATTTGTTTTCTGATATCCTTCATAGAGCATTTTTCTCAAATCTACATTGTTAAGAACAAACAAATGAATGAAATAATGCTAGTATTTTTTGTATGTGTTAAGTAGATCAGTGAATAAATAAATAAATAAATAAATAATTAAACGAATAATGAATAAATAAATAAGAGAACGAAGGAAAGACGGAATGAAAGATGGAAGGAACGAAATAATTATGGAAAGAATAAACACATGAAAGACAGCAGAAAGGAAATAACGAACGATCGAACGAAGGAACGAACGAACGAAGAAAAAAGGAAGGAAGAAACTGGGGAAGGAACAGATGAACGACAAAACGAAGGAAGGCAGAAAGAAAGGAACAAAGGAAAGAACGAACGAAATCATGCCTACGAACGTTTGTAGAAACACATATAAAATGTATAACAATTCTTATATGTATAAAGGAAACATCCGTTACAAAATATATACCATTGACATTCCACAGACATTCCTTATCACCTTTGAAATGTGTATAAATAAGCAGTTTCTAATTCAGTATGATTCATAATTTGAGGTAAACATGTTGGGTTATTTTCTCGCCATAGGGATTGTTAGTGCCGTTAGTGCACATCCTTACTATGCGGATTTAATACCAAATGGACATTCTGTGCCAAACCCGTGTAGCACCACAGGTGGTTTGTGGTTAGCAGTTGGTCATTACGACCCAATACATCATACACACGATAAAAATCCTTTTGGAATGGTACGTATCTTAATATTTTGTTTGTCCATATAAAAAATGATCCATATTTTTATATTGTTTGTAAATGTTTTTTTTTAAATAGGATTTTCTTAGTTGCTTGCATTCTTGGATCCTGTCTGTTGAATTGCCTCGCGGCCTAAACTTCAAAAGGCCATACTTACCCCTTCTGGATGGCTTTTTAAACCAATGGGGAAATATTTATAAAAGGGTATCATTGGCCCATAAAATTATCTTTTTTGATAGGTTTTTTTAAAATATTCAGGCAGAAATTTAGCAGTAAGGAGAGTGTGGGTGATACATAAGAAACACGGTCACAATTGTAAACCTGCTGTCCTCATCACCAATTAAGTAGTATTGAAGCCTAAAGACCTGAGTCCTTTGCTGGTGTTTCGTGTTTATATAATACACGACTAATATTTGTCGGTGAACAATGTACTGTTGGCTTGTAGAACGTCAGTTTTGGTCAGCTTAAATAAATGTAGTTGTTTTAATCGCGAAAGAATGTTATATAATGTTACTTGTAATTTATCATAATTATAACTCTCAGAAATTGCATATTTTACAAAATGTTCACGTAAAACAAATATGTTATGAACAATCATGCATTGTGTTATAAAACAACAACTTGTCAGAAACTATAAACAACACAAACACTGTTTTAACAACTGTAAATTCCAGGGATTTGTATATTGCAAATAACGTCAAGTAAAAATATATACACAACCATGTAATTCTTGATTTAACGGAGACGCAAATGCGGCATGGATATGTGATAAACGTGCATATTTAGCAATCTTATTTATTATAATAATAATGTTACATGTAAATTAACTTGAAAAACCCCAGATATCTTGACGGATATCATGTGACATTGTCGTATCATAACTATCATAATGAATCTCATGTACGAAACTTTGAATTTAAGATTGTCAAGTGTATATAAACTATATTGTATTATAATTTAATAGGCATTTGCGCAAGCAGGTCATACTTGGACAGCAGCATTGTGTGCTCTAGATAGTGATGGTGACGGTAAAACTAACGGAGAAGAACTAGGTGATCCAACTTGTGTTTGGACACAAGGGGCCGCGCCAACCGGTGCAGCTACAGGCCATCCGGGTAACTATCACAGCCTCACATTACTCTTTTCGACAAAAAATAACACATTCTATGGATAATTTTCAGTTATAGTAAATTAAATAATAACCGGATAAGAAACAAATTTGTGTTGATATCTCGATACAATATATTTGTCTGGCAACATAAAAAATGTTTGAATGCTTAAAAAAAATATCTGCAAGCCAGCTAAAATGTCAGACCATTATATCGTATTTTTATAAATCAGATATTGTCTGAGGTCATGTTATATTTCCGCAACTTCTAGTTAAAAAGGTATCTGCCTATCAAATGATGAGATTAGTCGATTGCTTAGCACTTTGTAGTGATCTGGTAATGCGTACTAGTAAATTTTCATCTTGTCATGTTCTAAGAATTGACACGTGATCTTCTTTTTACCATTTCAGGCATTTGCAATCCAGTCGGTTCATGTAGCGGACAATCATTTTCCTGTGGATGCCATGGTCATAACTGTGTTGGAAAGTGAAACTAACATGTTTGAGGAAATAGATTAAATAAATAGATATTATGTACAAAAAGCTTTAAATATGTATCCCGAAGAAAAAAACATATTGAAAAATGTTAACATAAAATGCATATGTTTGTTGTGTTTGTTATTACCTTACACGTTTTTATTAAGGTGATTTCAGTGTAAGAAATATATATTCGTATACAGATTTTAATACCTTGTAAATGAACTTTTAAACATGTTCTGGAAAGTAAAGCTTTCTTACGCTAACCTACTTTATAACGTGAAAAAACCAGGATTGATTGTTGAGTTCATTTCCTTTTAAATGATGAAACTATATGGATATTCTATGAGAGGAGAACATAAATGTTTGCCCCTTTTATCAATCAAAACGCCGTTTTGAATAATAATAATAATAATAGTAATAATAACAATCACAATAATAATAATAATAAAACCGTTTTTAGAAGACAAAACAACAGTTCCAAAAAAGAATTCACAAAACAATAAATATCTTATCACTTTCTTTCATAAGTCCACGTTTGTTGTGGGTCATAAACAACTTATTGTAAAAAGGCATTTAATTTCCAAAGTGAACCTTTAATAATGACATATAATAACCCATGGGTAGGACGTGAAGTGGTTGCACTCTTTGTTCTCTGTCAAAACTTTGAAAATCTGTACTGTCTATTCTTTCAATTTCACATCTAATTTGATAACTGATTTGTTTGATATTTGATGACTTATCATTCTTATCGCACAGTTCACCACATACGAAGCAAACACGATTCTATTATCTAGATTAATGAATTCAAGTGTCGCCTGTTTATTTCTCATGACATATGACATCAACCTAAATTCTATTTAAAAAGTAAGTCAGGAAGGACATGAACCACTAGTGACAAGGTCACTGTATCACCATATGTTCCTTATCTCAGTCTAGACAATTGTAGTCACTGCAGTGATCACAGCATGCCAACATTTCAGTCCTATAAGTTTTTCACCAAATAAGTACGAACACGTTTCTACTTTAATATGTCCAATTGTATGCTTATAATTACAATTTTAGTGATACTACAAGTTCATTAGATTAATAAATACTCATTGCTTATTCCTTTTTTAATTTAAAAATGAGAGAAAATGAGAAAAAATGAGGTTTAATAATATTCTTAATTTTTGTTACAAGTAACAGTTTTTGGTAGATACTTACGTTACACATTTTTATATAATTATATCAATTTTTCTTTTGATAAGACCGAGTGTAAAGAGATTATTGTAATATTACTAGGTATTTTCTGAAATGAAGGAATCACGCTTCAATAAATGTTAAAACATTTTCCGCTCTTGACACCATTATGTCAGGCTTTTGTTTAAAAATCATGATACTCTGCAGTTTTTTTTTTAAATATTTTTTCACATCGCAAAGTCGTTGGCGTATTTGCGATAAGGCTGGCAGTGATTTACAATATCTAACACAATGTTTAGTTATATAAAATATATGGTGGCTGATTTAGCACACTTTGAGCGTTGCGTTGTCGATAGCGACAACACAACATCGTTATCGCCTTTTCGTCTTTTTCGTTGTCGTGCAACACGTTATCACGATGCCGCCTATGTCGCTTGGCTAATAGCCATCCTTCGATTTGAGCCAAGCGACATTGTTACATCGCGACAACAGGTCACACGACAAGGCCCGTTTGGCGTGCTTCGTAAGCGACAAGACAACAAGACGAAAGTCCGACTATATGCCGTTTGGCTCTTTGTCGTGCTGTCGGTAGCGACAACACGACGCACAAAAGTGTACAAAATCACCCACCATAAAAATATTACATTGGTGTATATTTTGTTTAAAAGAAAACTTTACAAGTTTGTTTTTTGTGTTTTTTTTTTTGGCATTTAGAGCTATTTATTTTTGCATTTTTTTGTCAATAATGTAGCTGATTATTCCAATTTCAGATAAGATTGGTTACAACAGTTTAAAATGATAGCATAAAAGAGCCAACACTTAAATAAGCAGTTATTTCATTTTTTGTATCAATCTAAATATGGCATGTAAATGATTAAGTGTAGCTTTAAAAAATACGCAAATTTTTATATGTTTCTTAATATTTTTCAAAATGTCATTATTTATTTTAAAACTGGTTTAGTGTCTGCACAAGCAACAAAGACCCGCACAATTAAAGCCCACGGAGGACGAAATCAGTTATGCATAATCTAATAAAGATACAACAAAATAAATTTTTGTCGCGTTTTTTTTTATTTTTCTTGTTCTCGCATTTTCGCTTTCTCTGCAACTTGTAAATACATTCAGATATGATTCATGCCATTGAGATTTCATAAACTCATGAAATAACTCGTTGAATTTAGAGTCTCTTTTTTTCACACATTGGGATTTTTGCGATATGTCAATAGCATGGTCTTATTAATAAATTGACAACAATGAAAAAAAATACCTCCTAAAACATTTTACCTGCATAAAAGTGAAATACATTATCTTGATAAATTATATTTTGATTTCTGATCTTAAAAATCATAATAGTTTGCAAGTTAGATTTTTCTATTGAATGCATCAAAAAGTTCATAGTTTTTATATTTTTCCCTGAATAGACATAGATAGTCAAATAACGCTTTACAGAATTTATGATACTCAAAACGGTCATACAATCCTTTTATCCAATTTGTTTGAGTTTACTAAAAGATAAATCAACTCATTCACATACAAAGCCGCATATGTCCCACTCGAAAGAACAGAAGCAAGGTACAAACGTCTTGGATATTGTCAAATGAATAAACTATTTGCTAACTTTTCTTTAACATTTGATTTATTTGTTTACTTGCTTGTTTTTATTTTCGTTTTTCCTCTCAAATTAGGTCCATTTAGGGTTTTACGTCATGTCCCTTTCTTAACCACTGATCTGTTGTGTGTAACAGAAGTGGATTTGCACAGCTTAAAATTTGGATCAGTCAATTCAAAGTCTAAGGGATTTCAATATCAAAATGTGCAGACTTACCAGTCTCTACACTGTTGGCATAAGTTGTTGATATAGTTCAACGATTATATTTAGATTTGATAAATTACGCGTGATTTATTTATATCTTTTTTTGTAAAAACGACAGCCAGAACGTATCGCTTTACATGGATCGAAATCCTCAAAATGTTTACGTAGATTATTATGTACAAATATCATATAAATTAAGTTAATGATCTAGCTTATTGACTGGTAAAATGTGTAACGTGCACGGGCTAGCTGTTTTATAAATTTTTTTTCTTATGGCTACTTTGCCAGTTGATTAGTTACAAATGATAATAAAATGATTTGTGCAAACTTTAGAATCAAGTTTAATTTACTAATGTTTATAACAGTAATGTATTTTTTCTTTGGACTTGATACACATTTATGGCTGTTCAATATATCTAATAACCACTTGGATGTCGAGTTGTCAATACGTTAGTATTAACAATTACACGCAATGTTAAATTGATGCAATTGATGTACTTCGTAAATAGTGCAAGACTCCAAGTAATTAATCTTAATTATCAATTAATTATTTCTTTGATGATGACACTTCGGCAGCTGGGCAGAGACTCACTGTTCGCAACTTTGAGCTCTTTTTTTTACCTAATAATGTAGTTATATATATTATAATGATCGGTTACTGAAGTTGAAGAAATCAAGCATCCAAGAGATATTGATAATGGGTCGAATATTGGTACGTATGGCATTGCGTTTGAATGATTTTAAGGACCAATTGTTCTGATATTAAAGAAATAATAAAAATATGCCCGTTATATCAAATAATTGCTACAAATAAGTTGTTAAATGTAATCATTTCATTTTGATGTATTATTTTACTTATTTATAAAAGATTTAACTATTCATTTTAACACAAGATTATATATTTGTTTACAATTTATCTCATCGGCAATTTGGGTATAAAACCACTAAACATCATAATTGAATCTAGGCAAAAGAGAACAATCGTCACAAATGTAAGGTATAATTTGTATAACACAAGTATGATTAATTTACCCTTAAGTTATTGCTTTTGATGAATTTAACAATAATAAGTGTTTCTCTACATTACTTTTCTGGGGCATGACAAATGAGTTTCTATCAACTACGTTATTGATAGAATAAATAAAATAAGTTTGCTTCCCACGTGCGTTATCAGATTTTCATAGTGGTAAATTTGCAAAGGATGAAAAAGTGTTTCATGTAAAGTTGTTGTAAGTGCTCATAAAATTATGAGAAAATATGTTGATTATGATAAACAAAGTTTAATTATTTCTATATGTCTTAAAGCCAATTTGGAATCAATACCACAATTTTATCAGAAAAACAGAAAAACAAAGTTATCCTTCATGCAAAGTGTAACACAATAAATATCGTCTTTGGTTGTTTTTTTTTCTAAAATGAGTACATAATGTAAATTCAACCAACTTAAACGTCACTCAAACTGGATGACAGGGTAAGCTGTATGAGACTTATTTGTGGAAATTAAAAGTATCTTTATTTTTAGATAGTTGTGTTTATTAATGATGGAATAGCTACGCAATTTTTTATATATACTTGTGGCGAATTTTGACAGCAGCGAAGAGCCATTTTTGAAAAGAAGAAATACTAATTACACATTATTAGACGCCGCTTGCAGTGCTGTGACCTTGGCTTCAAGGTAGGAACCCAAATGTTGCGGGACACGTCGTCTCAATATGGTGATCATTTCTGTGAAATAGTTGTAAAACTCGACTTCAAGTAACAATTTATGGGCCGGACACAGTTGGCTGCAAGATCATGCTGTGACCTTGACCTTCAAGGTGGTGACCCAAGTGTTTCGCGCGACACGTCGTCTTAATATGGTGACAATTTCTGTGAAATATTTGTAAAATCCGACTTCAAATAACGAAGTTATTGGCCGGACACGATCTTGCTGCAAGGTCATGCTGTGACCCTGACCTTCAAGGTGGCGACCCAAATGTTGCGCGCGACATGTTGCCTCAATATGGTGATCTTTTTGTGAAATAGTTGTAAAACATGACTTCAAATAACGAAGTTATGAGCCAAACACGATTTTGCTGCAAGGTCATGCTTTGACATTGACCTTCAAGGTAGAGACACAATGTTGCGCGCGACAC